ATCGATATTATTTAAAAAACACTAATATTGTTATTGACTACTAATCTAGAATATTCTATGTATATAAACATATACATATATATATATATAATTGGCGAGCCAGAAGAGGAATTTATCGAAAAGGATGTTCTTCTTTGCTCAATCATTTTGTGTTTTATATAATCATTAACTGAATGTTCTCAGATTTACCGACTTAATAAACGCATGTCACAAACGATTTCAATAAATGCGTTGAGGGAATCCTATATTTGATAAGCCAAGTGATTTGGTTTGGGTCCCTGATGAGGGGTTATGGATCTGTCCTCTATCTGATGCTATTTCGTGATGGATGATATCTAAATTGAAATCAACCAGATCATAAAGACAGGCATTTAGAGACATCTGAATTGTTGTTGCAGGGAATCGGAAGGAAACCCCCACCCTAGCCAGGTTTCGTGCCTGTAGGTATTCCTCAGCAAGTCATATAGCATGGTGGCCATATTGTAAACTTGACTGATAGAATTCAGTCTGCATCAAACGAAGGTCTAGACACATGTGAGACTAGTTACTACCACTTAGTGTCCCAGCAAAGTGTTTACTAACTTCATGTAATTCTCTCTATTATTAAAGTTGAGCAGTAAAGCAGAACAATAAATGTGTATTGGGATATTAATTACCTCAATCTTTTTTTATTATTTCGTGGATTCTTTTCATCCCCCTACAATATGAACAATGAAAGGGTGGTTTGAACATTACTTTTTCTCCCGACGACAAGGAGTACTTGTGACGGGGACTATAAGTAACATAACTCCGGAATGATGTAAGATGTTTAATTATTAAGAATTTCAAGGATTCACTATATACATATTTAGGATAATTAGACGAATGTTCTTGATAAAGTGGACAGACTTCTGAAGGTACTCAAAATAACCAATAGTCAAAAGAAATCTAGCCTGCTACAATTGTTGAGTCAGTCGCCATCAAAACGGTTAGAAGCAAATCTATGTATACTGGTGAACATTACACTACCTTGTTGATAAGACCTAGAAAATAAGATTATACAGTTTTTTATTAAGTCATGTATTCTTCTAGTATATCTTCTGAACGTCATTCAACTGACTTCTTTCTCGTTGCATCCCCTATTTCTTTGATATTATACTTTGTTTCTACTCGAGAATTTGAACTCTGGCAGCAAATGTTTTCAAGAATATTTGTTCAGTCCTAACTCTTAATATTGTGCAATCTAGAGTTCCTATCAGTATCTCCTTTTCACCGCAAAAATGGTATGTTCAAACTCCATGTTTTTGTAATTTATATTTTTATATTGATATTAGATGGCTGGAGGCAATCGGCCACAGGAAGCCTTGCTCGATCTAGGTTTCGTGCTAGTTAGCACTCATCAGTAAGGCATATCTGCAACCTCAAAGGAGCTCATGTCCCTTTTGAGATTCGAACTCGCAGCCTGCACCAAAGATAGGACTAGATACACACGCATTACACTAGTTACTGACTAGTGTACAATTAAAAAATATCCTATACACTCCTACAGGAGGTCACTTGCCAGCCTGAAAAGCTCAGTGGCAACGTCTGTGTCTGCAGTACTCACTGGGTGACGCGGGTTCGAGTCCCCTCATAAGGGAGATGAGTTCCTTCAAGTTGGTTGCAGATACGCCTTGCTGATGAGTGCCAACTAGCACGAGACCTAGGTGGTGTCCAAGGCTTCCTGTGGCCGATTGTCTCCAGCCATCTAATACCAACAATTCACAGTGCACAGTTATGGCGAGCCACCTAGTGGTATGGCGGCCACATTGCAAGCTTGACTGATAGAATTCAGTCTGCACCGAAGATAGGGCTGGACACATTACACTAGTTACTGACTAGTGTACAGTCAAAAAGATTCATTTATATTGTTCATATTGTAGGCAGCTGGAAAGAATCTGCAATTACTAACGGATTATTAAGGAGACCATAGAGGAGTGACATCATACGCCATGGACCTCAGATGGAACCAAAATGGGAAGTGACAAACGAGTTAATGGTGCTCTTCGCTTTGAGGGTGTTATGCAGGAGAGAGGAGGAAAGTTTGGTAATAATAATAATAATAATGGTGACCAGAACCCTTACTTCCTTTGATCAGTCTAAAGATACTAATAACCATTGGTTTAATGTTGAATAATCTTCAAAAGCAGTGGACAGGTTTCCGAATCCATTTACCTCGAAAGTCTGTTGAAACAAACTTCTGACTGCTTGCAGATGTTTGCAGAGTGAGATGAAACGGATTGGAATACATAAAGTGAAAAAAACTGGGTATACGGGACTTATATCCAGTAGGGACATCTTAATCATGCAATTTTTAATTTTAATTTTTTACTCCTTTTCGTTCCCAGTGGAAGGTAGGGCTTCAAGCTATAAGCTTGAAGTTTCTGTAGCACTGGTGTCTGCTTTTACCAGATAGGGTTATTAGCCTCATGCCCAACCTTCCCTCTTCACCAGTCTTATTATTGGCATAGAGAAGTACAGGAGTGCGCCCAGTGGTCGGGGATCGAACCCAGGGCCACGTGAGGTCTGGTTGGTGAGCATTCTACTGCTGTGCCCCCGACGCATTTAATCATGCAATGATGAGGTTTAACACAGACTAAAACGAGAATGTTCACGAACTAGATGAGATAGAGATCTATGAAAATGAATAATTATGATTACAAGATATTTACATAGATCTTATGAAGGGAAAGGCTAAAGAGAACAGAGTGATGAAATGGAGATGTGCTGATGAAGACCGGTATTCTACTTGGGAGCCAAGAGAATAATACTAATAATAAGACTATATTTACATTGCATTTCTACCTCACTTTCATCGACTTTCAAAAGGCCTTCGACAGCGGTGATGGCGAAGTAATTTGGAGACTACTTCAACACTATGGCGATCCCTAAATATCTGTTAACCTCATACAACGGCTGTATGACAATGGCATGTGTCAGTTGATCTACGACGGAAAACCCAGAGAAGCCTTCGAAGTGTTGATACATGAACAAGACAAGACTGCTTATTATCACGGATGAAATATCTAGTTGTAATGAATGGGCTGGATTATGAGTCAGACTATGGGAAGTGAGAAGACAGGAGTACGCTGAACCACCTATGAGAAGACTCTAGCAGATTTGGATTTCGCAGTTGATCAATGTTTAATGTCACACAAACTCGAAGACTTACAAACAGGCAGGCGAAAACCAACAAACTGACTGAAGAAGCAGGCAGTGATGAAATAACTTCAGGTGAACATAGAGAAGACGGAGGGGATGAAGATAACCAATCACTATCAATAAAATAAGTTTGAAAGAGCTCGCTTCTTCCATTTATCTAGTAAGCATCGTTTCATCGACAGGCAGTCGGAACGGATGATAATGTCAAAATGAGAATAGGAAAGACGAGGCAGACTTTCATTACTCCGAAATCAGTTTGGAAATCTTCTTCACTTAGCCAGAATAAAGAACAAGATTTTGATTTTCAACACCACTCTTAGGTCACTGCTTCTATCTGGGTGAGAAATTTGATACACACGTCACGAAAAGCATTTTCGACAGGCTGATGCTGGCCTAAATCGACAACTGCCTTCGCTTCATGTTGAAGGTCAAGTGGCTGCTCAGAAAGAATTAGCAACAAGAAACTCTTGGAAAGGACCAGGCAAGAATCTATCGGTGAACAGATATTTAGAAGAAAATGGAGGTGAATCAGGCATTCGTTGATGAGACCATCGCTTGTGTTGAACCTGATTGGGAGATGATGAGTTGGTCTTCCAGGGGTGATACTGAAGAGATAATGCGAGGAGGAGATGAGAGACAATGGGCAACCGCAGGGCTACCTAAAGAGGACCTCAGAGACTAGGACCAAATGTAGATGTGCTGTTGAAGCCATATGTTCCATTCGGAACCCAAGGGAACAATAACAGGCATAATTTATACTGCACGCAGTTAGAAACTACTTATTTTTAGTAAGTAGTATAAATTTAATGCATGAAAACAGAGGCACCAGATCTTCAGTGTCAGAGTGAAGGGTTGTATTTTTGAACACATCACAGGTTGTTATGAGGCGGAAAGTTGGCTTTTCCGGTCCGTACTAAAAATAGTTAGATTTCATTTTCTCTTAATAGATTTCAAATATTGAAGATAGATCGGATTCTAGCTAACACTGACCCTTTGTCTTCTAGTTTTCAGTATTTGAAGTTACTTGTCAGGATTTTGTGAATGAAAGTGGGTACTTATTGAGTACTCGAAAAGACATACATAGACTTATCACTGAAGATTCGGTGCTGATTTTGTCACAAGTAGGTACTGGCTGACTGAATTGCTACTGACCCTATCCAGGAAAATCAATCCAATCGTTACATCGAAAAAATATAAATTAAACACAAACTTATTCTTCTCTGGAATCAGAGAGATGAAATAACTCTGAGGGCTGGTGAAAGCCTTGAGGAACCCAGTTAGCCAATGTTTCCTCTCCTAATGAAAGCAAAAATACCTACAGATACATTGAAAGTTTACGCAATGTTTGAAGGTAAGAAGACTGACTGCTTAGACGGCAGAAGAAATGAGAAGTAACGGGTATTCAAGAGCGAGGAATCAGTGAGAATAGATGGAAAGGAAGAAGTGAACCCTCTAAATTGTTAGTTAAGGAGTCAATAATCTATTTCAGTCACTCGGACGACAACCACGAGCACACTGAGTGAGTGGCTTTCATGACATCACCAACTACATTCAAAACACTTTTATGAAGTGGGAACCATTCTCCTCCTGAAGGATAATGACAGCAAGATTCCCCTAATTCAAGTTGGTAAGTTAATGACACAATGATCACCATTAAATTAAGGGGATCTGTCTATTGAAAATACCCACGTTTCATAGAAATATTTCCATGATGGTATTTAAATGTAGGTAACCACTACTTAAATAAAGAAAAAAAGTAGACTACTAATAACTTAGTGTATAAAATTTTAGATCGAAAAAAATTTTGTTTTCAAACTTACGAGGTGGTGGCGGTTCCTTTTTCTCACAACAGCACAGATTACGTGCACGTTCGCAAAGTGATGGTCGCATTTCCAAATTGGATACACTGTAAGAAATATTTTGAAAAAGATAATAGATGTTACTTTGTGAGAAAATAAGTAGTATAATTTTAACTTTGTAAATAATTAAATCGAGTTGATGTTAAATCATTCTCACACACTTACTGATATTTATTCTTTACTTGAATGCTTATCTCCAGATAAAGAAATTTGATTCATTCACTGTAGTGTGGGATAACAATTGCTTGCATTTCTGAGTGGCTTCACAAAAAGACGCTCTTTCCTTCAAGCCCTGCTAGCAGAAAACGAATCGATTTAATGACAAAAAGCACTAAAGATAAGCCATCCAGACTGATCACTGAATCCCTTTCAAGTAATACCATATTCATCAATTTGGAATTCGTAGGTGATCAGGCTTAAGATATACCTAGAAATCGTCTCTGTAAATCAGTCAGTAAGACGTCCATCAGCCGTTAGTTGTTCTCCGTCTCTGTAAAAGATAATCTCCATCGTCTAGCCACCTTCATGTGCATCTATCAGTTCACCTGCTGTTGTAGAGGAAGGTACACTGGCTGTAACCCGAGAAAGCTTTCCTCAAGGATACGAGGCGACATTGCAGCATGGTTTTATAAGGGGGAAAGGAAGGAAGTGTTCTGAAATACTTGATCGACTTCTGTTACTCTACCAAACCTGACCACGAATTTAAGATTACCTATCGAATTCATTCTGACTTGTCGAATTTTCTTCATTTCAAACTTCTAAAGACAACGGAAGCTTTGGTCATCCATAAGTTCAAGCCAGACGTTTGTGAACAAAAGAAATATGTACAGTCAGTATTTCTACCTTAAGTGAGGAGGGATAAACACTTGTTTATTTATTTCTCGTTATGTTTATTTAATCTATGTACCTTTCTGTTATTACTGCTATTGTTAGAATTATTACTTATGCTCACTTTGAGTAGTTTCTGGTATTGTTTCACTTGTCCTACTCGTCACTTCAAATCAATATATTTCGCGCAATGTTACAATCTATCTATCTTATTGTTATTATCGTTAGTATACTTGGTAGATTGTGCTAACGAACTTCCTACCTAGTTGTTTCGCCAGCCCACTGTTCCAAACACTTTTAGCAACAACGACAACACGATACGATGTCAACGAACCCCCGAAGAAAGAAGACAAGAAGACAGGCCATTGACGTATTCTTATACTGATGTAGAGACCTTTCATTGTCTAGAATTGACAGCAAGCAGGCGTACATAACTGCTTTAAATGGCCTTGAAGGGCGCTAATTACACTGATAAGTTAGTACACTCAACAACCAATAGAATTCCATGGTTATAAGTGGGATGAGGAAAATAAAAATTGTAGTATCTTAGAAAACTTAGTTCATAGATTGATGCCCACATATTCTGTTCCTTTCAGTATTCACTGCCGGCTAGCTTTTTGAATCCAAGTTGTGTGTTCTGGTCGGACCTTTGTCATATCAAGTAGCTAACTTTACACACAATATATCTTTATTACGAGTAGTATCGAGAAGTCCTTATGTTAACTCATTTGTGCAAAATCAAGAAGGGTAATTATCGAAACTTTTAACCGTAAACTCAATGCAACTAGAGAAAAAATCAGTTATTGTGTATGTAAAACTCTGCATGCAAGAGTATGGAGTTAAAGTCATAACTTATGTGAATAAGGTAGACGAGACGTTTAACTCAGGTGGGTGATAACGGTGTAGTTGTGTTCTCTGATTAGTTAGATTAGATTTAATTAGTGATTAGATTTAATCACTAACTGAAATCATTTACAGTATCCTTCGGAAATTAATTTGTATTGGTCCCTTCAACAACACATCTCCACTTTGTTCTGTTTTCTGCCATCCTCTTCAGCTGGGTCCATGATTGACCAAACTCTGTCATCTCTTGCCCTCACGATCCCCTCTATGTCACCCTCGTACCAACGACCCACTCGTCGCTTCCCATTTGGATTCCACTCGAGGGCTTGGTTTGTGTGCAGTGTCATTGAGTGGCCTCCTCAATGTGTGCTCGACCTATCTCCATTATCTCCTACATATTTGTTGAGCAATCGGCTCTTGCCTGTTGGTATGTTCATCTCCCGAGTTTCTTGTTACTGATTCTTTCTGGCCATTTGATCTTCAGTATGGAGCCTACTGTTGAAGGGAGCTGTTGATAAAAGTCTGTAACAGGCTGTTAGAAATCCTTTTCGTGACATGCTGGACAAGTTTCTGACCCGTATAGAACAACCTACTTCACATCGGTTTTGAAAATCCGAATCTTTTTCCTTGTGCTGAGTGCGGAAGATTTCCAAACTGGTTTTAGGTTGATGAAGGCGTATCTTGCCTTTCCGATTCTGACTTTGACATGTTCGTCCGTCCCACCTATAGTTGAAACGATGCTTCCTGGCTGGATAAGTGAAGGAGGCAACCTCTGTTAAAGCTAATCCATTGATGCGGATTGGTGCTGGCTGTTGTTGCTGTTGACTGGTTATCTTCATCACCTCCGTCTTCTAAGTGTCCACCTGGAGTCCCGTCTTCGCTGGATGTTTCTTCAGCCAGTTTGTCGGTTTGCGCCTCCCTGTAAGTCTTCGAGTTTGCGTGACATTGGACATACATCATCTGCGAAATCTAGATCTTCTAGAGTCTTCTTATCGGTTGTCCAGCATATTCCTGACTCCTTGCCCCCAACAGTCTGGTGCATAATCCAGTCCACCACAATTAAAAATATCATCGGTGATAATAGGCAGTCAGCCTTGTCTTACTGCTGCATGTACTTCAAACGCCTCGCTGAGTTTTCCGCTGTGGATCACTTGACACATGGCATTGTCATATAGCCAGCTGCTGATTGAAATTGGTAAAGACTTGAGGTACGCCATAGTAGGGTAGCTGGACATCGAAATCTCCAGCAACGGCCGAACTCAAGACCTTCAGACTACCAGTCACGTTATTCTGCCACTGGGTTGGAATTCAGTGAATTGCAACTTCTAACAATTCATAACAAATAGGGACGAAATTGATGTCCAGTGCTTCTTGATTTTCAAGCAGTCCTATTATTAATATCATTTTTCTGATAAAATGTACTTTTCACTTGAGTTGTGTCACTTGAAGGTTGTCACAGTGTGTATTCAGTGTATCTCTACTTCCTTCGGCAAATTTGTATACTTGTATGCCTCGCCTTTTCACTGCTCATGGTTTGTCGCATGATAACTGGACGAAACTCCACAGTTAATGAAGAGGTCAATAAATAACCTGAAGACTTTTATTTTGAGTACTTCTGTTTTATAGATTTTTATTTAGACCACTACTTCCATACATCATTCTTTTATGTCTGAGAGATCCTTGGGATTAATGAAAACAAAACACGTAGATCAGCGAAGAGTCTCTTTTCGGCGAATTCATTTTCTTAGCTGTACAATCGCAAATATATATGTGTTATTTTGTATGTATGTGTACATTAAGTTTGTCAAACAAAATTACAATTGGTTATGGTTATTTTAACTAAACAGGTGAAGATTGGTAATACAAGTCAAGAAAATTAGGTGTTAATGAAATTAGGGTAGTAACAAAGGTGATGAGTTGTCACAAACAGTTGTTAAAAAGAAGTTATGTAATAATATGAATAGTTTGATGAGTGAGTTTTACTCAGAATGCACATAGGAACAAAGCAGATAATACGAAATAACGTAAGAGTTCTAAATGAATACAAGAATTATGAGCAATTAAAGAACAGGCAAAGAAACAAGATTAAGTCATCAAAACAAAAAAAATCAAATCAAAAATAGTTGTTACAATGACAGTAGAAAAAGGGTTGAGTAATTCTCTTTTGTATGCACAGCTCCTGTTTTTCTATGTGAATGGCTAGAGCTTCAGCGATACAACGAAGACGAAACCGGATTGCTTTTGGTAGGTTATTCTTGACTCTGTAGATTACTTTGAAGGAGGCGTTTGTTGAAATGGAATGATCAGTGTTAACCAGGTGTTCAATTATCGCACTCCTTATTGCACCAATATTGCCTTTTCGTAACCATGCTGGATAGTGTTCTTGAATCCTCTTGGACAGGATGCGCGTCGAACGACCGATGTACCTGGCTCTACAGCAGCAGGTGAACTGATATATGCACGTAGAAGTGGTTAGATGCGGGATCTTGTCCTTGAGGCTTCTGCAGATCAGTGGGCGACTGCAGAACACTATTCCTAACGTTGCTGCAAAGAATGTTCTTCTCAGAGATGATGTGATCCTTCTCTTGAGAATATCGCTTGCTAAATCTCCCTTGAAATCCAGGTTCACGTAGAGTTTCTTTTTTGGTGCAATTAAAGTTTCGTTTCTCCGAATTCTTTGTTTGATATTTTTGTAGATGAACCTTATTGGGCATCAATTTTGGATGAAAATTTCTCTTAGAATATCTAATTCTGTTTCCAGAGCGTCGGGACTGCAGATGCGTCGGATGAGGGTGGCAAGTGATTTAATTAAATTTCGCTTTTTTGAATGGTTACCCAGCTATAGAAGCTTGTTAGTTGACCATTCCAAGTAGGTTTTCTATGGATTGATCTTCTTAGGCTCCCATCAGTTGTTCTTGTTAGTTCCACATCAAGAAACGGAATTTTTGACCCGTTTTCTATTTCAGGAGTGAATTTTATTGCTGGATGGCAACAGTTAAATATCTTCAGAAGTAGACTGGGGTCACTGTTATTGTCACAAATAATGAATATGTCGTCTACGTATCTTTTATACAGTCGCAAATTGTCAACGCTCGGTTTTAGTGGACCTTTCTCGAGGCTTGCGACGAAGCAGTCTGATAGTAGTGGACCCAACGGAGATCCCATTGCAATACCATCTTTTTGTCTGTGGATGGTATCGTTGAATGTGAACTGGACGTTCAGAGTGCATCTCAGTAGTAATTCCTTCAAATATGCTGTTGGTATTCCAATATTGAGATCCTTGAGAATAAAAAAAGCCTGCCATCTCTCACCATTTTGACAATCTGGCCAACCTTTATGCATCTTTGTAAAGCGATAAATTGAGCAGTGATAACTAATTAGATTTAAGTTCTTCTTTGGATAGATCAGAAACATTTCCACATAGATTTGTCTTGTCAGGTTGCAGTACATAGATACGTTTCCATCAGCATTTAGGAAATGCATGGCCCAATATGGAATGACAGTGTGTCGGTTTCTTGATGACTAACGCTTGCTTGTAGTGAGGGCTGTCTGCTAGCCAAAATTGGTAGACAGCAATTTACGTGAATGTTTACTTCCCATATCTTTGTCATGAGAAGAAAACGAGAACAAAGACTAAATCAACAACCAATCACAACAAACTTAGCGTGGGCAGACACGATTAGCAGATTTATCAACGGACTGCATAAGAAACGCCAACAAAGAGACGACAGAATAACCTTCAGCAGGGAAACAACCAATCAGAAGTCACTGTTTCTCTACTAACAATAATGAATAATAATGTACATAAAAATCTATAAATATCTGTTGATTTTCTCAATAAACGATCTGTCGCCTGGCCCTTGTATTCTGTCGTTACCTGCTTACCTCAGTGAGATGATCGAATGTTAGTTCTAACTAAGATTACAAACGATTAAGTTGAACAAATACAAAGACATAAGATAAACGACAAAAAACACCCCAATACAATACAAAATATTTCACCTACTCATTTGGTAATTCTCTGTCTGTAACTTCAGCTAACTCTTGATCTATTTGATCTAAAAATTTGAGCAAATCATCTTCACCATCGTCTTCAGTTCGTTTTTTTCCAATCGGTGGTGAAAGATACTCAGGAAATGAATCACTATCCATATAAACAGATCGAAAACTAACATCCAAGTTGTAATCTAAAATTTTCGATGTCTGAAAGTCTTCGTCGTCATCACCGAATGGATTCATGACACATAAAGCAACCTGTAATTTAAAATATATAATTGTATGTATATATAAATGCTTTGATTAGGGGCTAGGTGGTAGCTTATGTCATCAGTTTGGTCCTTGATTTTGCTGCAGACTGAATTCTATCACTTAAGTTTACAATGTGGCTGCCATGCTGGGTGGCTCGCCTTCATGATGTACTCCGAATTGTTGTTACTAGATGGTTGGAGGCAGTAGGGAAGAAGCCAAGCCTGACATAGGTTTCGCACTTGGTAGCGCTCATCAGCAGGGAACTCATGTCCCTTCTGAGATTCAGGCCTGCCTCACCCAGTGTAGCAGTCAGAGACATTACCATTGAGTCATTCGGGATAGCTACTGACCTTCTGTAGGACTGTACTGGATACTTTGATTGCGCATTAGATAGCAATTAATGTCTTGTGTCTAGCCCTAGACTGGTTACTTTTCCATCTATGTGCTGTCCTTTTAATCCTAATGATAGCGTGCTGTTAAATGACAAAGAGACTCTTTGAGACTGGAGAAGATCTAGGGCTGAAGGTAGTGCGGTTATAAACGGAAAATAATTCACATTTTATTCACACGATGAATTTGGATTACCGGTGGTGACTGTAGTGAGACAGTAACCTAGTTAACAGCTAGGTCTTCGCTCGAAATAAGTTGGATTCAGGAGAAACAAATTATATGAGGATCGAATTGCAACGCTATGACGCTTCATCATCGAATAGAGCATAGATTGGCAGTCAACTCTTCACCTTAACTTCAGCGACTTTGAAAAAAGCATTCGAAAGTGTGGTCCGTGAAGTAATTTCAAAACTGCTTCAACGGCACTGGATGTCTCAAACCTTTACCAGCCCCATTCAGTAGCTATATGATATTGTTACGTGTCAAGTGATTCAAAACGGAAAACTCGGAGACGCCTTTGAGGTGAATATAGAAGCAAGACAAGGATGTCTACTTTCACCAATGAGGTTCCTGATTGTGGTGGACTGGACTGTGCGGAAAACCGTAAAAGGTGAGAAGATGGGGATACGCTGGACCCACAAAACGACACTAGAAGAGGTGGACGTCTTCAATGATTGATGTTCACTGCCAACAAGTTGTCTGGAGAAGCGACAACCTTACAGACCTTCAAGTGAACGTAGAGAAGACAGAGATGATGGAGATACCAAGCCTAAAAAAGTAACGACCACCAATCACAATCAACGGGCAAAATCTTGAGGAAGTTACTTCTTTCACTGTACTGAGCAGCATCGTTTCAACCAGAGGCGACACTGGTGAGGATGTCACAGCCAGCCAGGATTGGTAAAAAGCAAGACAAGCGTCCACCGTGAAATCAATATGGAAATTCACTGTACTCAGCAAATAGAACAATATTCGAATTTCCATCACTAATGTCAAATCAATAAGTTCTTCGATATGGTTCAGAGACTTAGTGCATCACTGAAAGTGTTTCCGAAATGCTGGAGATTTTCAGCAACAACTGCTTTTATTGCAGAAAATAGGGTGAAGTGGACGTGTGCTGTTGAAGCTGTATATTCCACTTGGAACCCGATGGAATAATAATATAATGACTGTTAAGCTGGTATGACACTGGACTAGTAAATCGAAGCTACTGGCTAGAACTCTATCCAGACTCAAACTTACATTTCACTTAAAACTGTCACTCAGTACATCAATAAGAGCCTGCCAAATAAAGGTGATTTCAGACAGTCTCATCAGCAACAGTTCACTTAGTCAAACTTCAGTAAACTTGAATATGTTTATCTAGAACAGTATTGATCCTTGAAGATCAGAAGTGCAATACTTAGTTAAAAAAAAACCTGTGATGATGAAGCATGAGATAGCCTTAATTGGTAATATAATATCTTAGAATGTATACTGGCCAGCATGTGGTTTTCGGATAACTTATCAATCACAAGTGCCCTGGATAGCTGCTGCATCTTAGTTTTGGAGTTCTCCAAGAGTAAGGCATCCATGATACGGTTAGTGAATGAATCTGGGACCTTCAGGTCACAAGATGAGCCTATTGGTCATTTATCCAGTGGGATGGTATCCATCATAGCGCATGAATTCTAACCTCTGACAATATGGAACATATAATGTCACAGCAGGTCAATGTCATAGAACAGTGTTGCTCTCCACACTCTATTTAGAGAACACCACTGGTCGTGACCTCCATCTCACCATAAGAAGGCACTTACAAAGTACTCCAGTAGTATCGATTTTTCAGAGATTCTCTAAGTGATGTAACTTCGTGATCATTCAACTATTGATTTCTAGAGATTTGATTGAGAACCACTGAAAACCAGCAGGGAGTACTTGACATCTGTTTTGTCCATACGTTTGTGGATCTTCAACAGTACGCATCAGTTATTTCATCCAACTGTGGATTGAATCCAAGACCTCTAGGTTACAAATCAATCTCATTGACCATTCAGTCCCTGGGATAGCATCCAATAACCCATGAATTCTAGCTACTGCCAATTGACGTTATACTGCGCGATCACCAGATAAAATGTCATCGGCGGGTGTTTGTCCTCATACCTGACTTGATGAACTCTAACAGTCATGACTTCCCATTGGAAATATAGACAACTTTATTCTCTAGTCGGACAGTTCCACTTCAATTCATGATCTGTCTTGTAAGGAATAGATTTCTTGCTAGTGACTTGCTACAGGACGGAGTTTCCTGGAGTTCTAGTGAGAAGTCGTGACCAGTGAGGTCCATCCAGTCGGGAGTGAGGATGGATGTCCCACCGATGACATTGGTTGGTGCCAGTCGCACTAAATCCCGAATTGGTTGAAGTTTGAATTCATGGACTGGCCAGTGAGGAGTCGGGTCCCAGTAGCTGAATGGTATACGAGCCAGCTCGCCTTGTAACCGGAATGTCCTGGGTTCAAACCCCATGGTATAGGTGCGTACTGCCGACGATTCCCAAACTAAGGGGATGAAACAGTTGTCCAGTACTCCAGTTCTGGTTTTCAATGGTTCTCTAACTGATGATATCAATCCGTGGTCACACTCGTATAAATAGACTAACAGTTCAATGCATGAATAATACATTACTATAATCACGAGTGAGTAATAGTCAGACAAAAATAACAACTTTAACTTACTTTTAACCATCCCATAAGAAATAGAAATGAAAAGATACTAAATATTGGAACGTATAAATCAATTTTTCTGCTTTTATCATCAGGGCGATTTTCAACAAATTGACAGGCGAATATTTGACACATGAAATAACTGTAGACAGCAATAATGACAACCTGAAAGGAGGTAATGAAAACAAGAACAAAAAGAGAAAGAAAGAATGCGTGATTCAGATTGGACAACAAAAACAGAGGCATAACTGACTGATTTCACATTAGATGTCGTCACGAAGTGACGTCTGTCAAGGAGGTAATGAAAATAAATGATCACCAGTTCGCTCCGTCCTCCTTTATGGCTGGTTGTGAGACCTGATCATTGAGAGTGGAAGACATGAAAAGGCTGGCTAGCTGTATTCGATCATAGGTGCCTGCGTTCCCTTTGACGTGTGACATGGTATAATATGGTGAGAAATACTGATGTTAGGCATCAGCTAGATGTTAGATGAGTTGGAGGGGAAATCAATCGACGAGGCTGTGAAGTTACATCGACAGAAATGGTTAGGACATGTGTTACGCATATCTCTCCTAGCCATCGCCTTCCTCGACGAGCGATTTTAACTGACATAGGATCGATCAGGTTGGAAAAGAGTTAACCAGTGGTGGTCAAACCAAAACATGGCTTCATCAATCAATGAAATCCACAACAGTTGGTTGGGAGGCCACGTAGGGATTTGTAGACTGGTTGGGGTCCTCGGGACAGTAAAAACCAATGAAGGCTTGAGACAATTGGTGATATTGCCCAAAATTGTCTTCAAAGGCTGGTGCAGATGCATCCACTCCTTGAGATTGACTGAGATGCATCCATTCGGCCTCAATATGTGGAGCTGCCAAATAATGACGTTGTGGTGAGAGCAAGCTGCTAGCCAATTGGTAGAAATTAATGTAGGCTGATTCAACAACCGATCACAGCTGACCTAGACGTGGACAAATATGATTCGCAGACAAGTGGCTCGCATTTCCGAGAAATATCGAAAACGAGAAAGCAGAAGACTGCGTTTGTTTGCAAACAACCAATCAGAAGACCGCCTTCTTTCTGCGGGCAGAAGCCTATTAATGTACGTAAAATACATATAAATACCTGTTGGTTTTCGTAATAAAACTGATCTGTTGCCTGGCCCTTGTCTTCTGTTGTTACAACCTAATTCATGAAAATCGCATAAATTAGGAAACTATCAGACTTCTTTTAATTATTGAGTGATTACCGTTAAAACCTATCTTACGCGTGTTTAGAAAACTCAGGAAAGACAAGTTCATTCATCTGACAACAGGAAATTCTGTGTTTGTCTCATTAGCATTTGTGATACCAACACGTGTGCAATTTATTATGCAGATTTATGTGTCGTCAGTGCTTAACAGTTATATATTATACTTGCTGAAGCTAGATACAGTTTAGTTTAAATCGTCTTACTACTTGTTTTTACTTTTAAGTAGTACAGTGTATTTACCCTAATTTTTATGTGTTCGCTCTGTACTTAAGGTCTTAAAGTTCACTGAAAAGTTCATTAGTGATCTGCGTTAAAGATCCTTCGAAAGTGACCTCTTGAGTGAATACTACCCGGCATTATGTTATCTGGTTTTTGTTGTTGTCGGTGACTGGAAGAGAAATACGAAACGAATGTTTCGTCCCGTTTTAGGACTTATTAACTAGATGTTCGAACTTGCAATAAATACTACTGAATACTGGATACTTACTTGAGTATAGACCAAGGGGATCATAATACTGCTGTAGACTTGTAAATCTTGCATTTTCTGTCTAACTCGTCCGATGTTCTACAGAAATGAACAAATAACAAAAAAGTGGAAGAAAAATAGGTAAAATCTCAGTTTGCAAAACTATTATTTGGTGATTTCCGATTTATACAGATTGGGGCGAACTTTCGCCCCATTTTCCTACGTATGCCAAAATTATTCAGATAACAATGCATGTGATCTGCTTGCTACCATGAAAAGCGATCAGGATAGCAAGCGCAAATCCATCGCACTATACTAATGTTTGATGTGGAGTCTTCTAAACCACTCATGTCAAACAGTAGTCGTTGTTAGTCAAGTTGGAATGATCTAAATAATGGAACACATTTTGTCCGTTTGAGGTAAATCTCATCAACAGTGAGCCAGATTACTTCAGTCCATTTGAATTCTGGCTAGATACATTGGAGAACTGGTAATCTAGAGGGGATTGTCTACTTGTATGATGAAGCATTTGCCAAAGTGGTTAAAAACAGCTGAATTCAAAGTGCCAAAATGCTCAATAACAAAGTATCTTGTGAACTACAGACATGATATTGACTCTGTCAGTTCATTCACTGTTGTCAGCGAGCAGATGAAGAAACAGATGAAGAAACTTGCAATTATTGCGGAGGAGGCTTGTGCAATTCAAGTTTATAAACCAGGTCTCTGTGAACAAAAGGAAATGGTCGTCACTCTGAGTCTACTATGGTAATACTTTTTACTTATTAACTGTTATTATTATTAATATTAATAACACTTTTTTCCACCTCTTATTATTATTCTTGATTCATTTGAAATTATCTTTTATGAGTAGCATTATCTTAAGTTGTTTTAGCATTATTATTATAACTATTACCATTAATATTAGTCAGTTCGCAATTCTCGATATATTCAAGTTCTTTCACTCACTGATGACTAATTGTTTATCTAAGTGATGTATTATTATTATATTATTGTATCCTTTAATTCCTAGAGGAACATAGGGCTTCAGCCGTGCGTATCCATTGAGTTCGGTTCTCTGATAGAGCCTTCACCTGGCTCCAAGTCTGCCCACACGTTTTCATCTCCTCTTCACATGACCTCCTCCAAGTCACCCTTGCACTGACGACCAACTCGCCGCTTTCCTTTCGGGTTCCACTCAAGTGATATAATTGAAGCGTAATGCATTTTATTTTAATTTCAATCTCTCATACTCCCTTCCCCCACTTATCTACTTGAACATGACCTGAAAAACATTCACACGTGTCATTCTGCAGGATTAATTCAATGCAGTTTATTTGCCTATAAATCTTCTATCTCCCAATGTATTTCCAATAGTGTATATATATCTGTGTATGTAGAGTATTTAGCTGAGGAAGAGTTCTACCGAAATTCGATGAATTCATTAAATCCTGCTATATTACCACATTTTGTTGCTTGTTTTAAATTGACTTGCAAATTGAGAATTCGATTCAGTCTGTCACCCTTTTTGCAGAAGTATCAACCAGGATGCATGATTCGATTCCAGCTGAATTAAATCAGCGAGTTAAATCAAAAGCCAAAACTGAGGTCTATTTAAGCAGAGACACGTGGCATTTTCATGCAGTCAAACTCAATATTAGCATGACTTTGGGGGATTTGGCAAATATATCTGGAAGGTCAAACGGTTCACATAATAGATTGCTCCAGTTTAATTGTAAGAATGTTAAGGGAGAAAGAGAATCTGAAAACCAGTAGTTCAACTGAGAGAGGAACCAAATAATCTCACTGGTAAATCCTAAAGGAATCTGTTATTTCAGAGGAACACTGTCCATCAACCTTCGCTATCATAAACCTAAATGTAGCCATAAAGAATATCCTCAAAGTGAAAGGTGTGATCACGAGCTATTATCATTTAGAGAACCATTGGAAAGCTAAGGACTACTGGACAGCTATTTTGTCCTAATTTGTTACTCTTCACAGTACATATCCACCAGGATTTGAATACAGAAGTTGAGATTTATGAGTCATTAAATCGAGCCCCTATGGCTAACTAGTCCAGGAGCTCACATTTTAACAAGAAATTCTTAGGTTCGAATCCAAGTGGATGAGTACTCTTGAAGAGTTCCAAACTAGGATAAAACAGCTATTCAGTACTCTCTGGTTTTCCAGTCACTCTCTAACTTATGTCAACTCGTCAACAAACGTGTAACTAACTGGATCCGTGCAAACGAACACTGGATGATTTCATCTGAATGGTTTGCCTGAAGTGAAGAAGTAGGGGACAGTGATGATGTGGAGGTAGGGACATTTATTATGTTGAATGATAATGATAGAATGAAATTTTACTAATCAGTTAAGTGAAGTGAGTGATCTCGCCTTTCGAGAGAACAAAAGTGTGTGTGAGAGAGAGATGAGTTTGTCTTGTAAATGACACCATTCAAGGTGATGCCTACATGGGTGAAAGAAGGAATCGCTTTCAGATTTATTCCATGGACAATGAATGATTGGTGTTTGCTGTTGTTGGTTGGTGTTCTTCACCACCTTCATCTTATCTATGTTCACTTGAAGTCCTGTCTTTGTTGCCCGCCTCTTCTGCCAATTATTTGGTTTTCTGCCTGTAACATCTGATTAAGACGTTAATATTTCTTTCTTCAATTCTTGTGTCTTCTGAATGTCTAAATAGGGATTTTTTCGGCACTCGCGTGTCAATTTCATTTATTTATTTTCCCCTTGGGTTCCGAGTGGAAAATAGGTCTTCAACAACACATTTTTCACTTTCTTCTATTCTCTGCTGTTCTCTTCAGCTGGTCAAACCCACGATTGCACATAATCTCTCATCTCCTCCTCCTCGCCGCAAGATCTCCTCCATGCCTTGTCTCGCACCGACAACCCACTCGTCGCTTCTCATTGGGATTCCACCCGGAAGATGACGTGCATTGCGCGCGATGTCATTCGACGGTCTCATCAATGTGTGCCTGATCCATCTCCATTTCCTCCCGCATATTTGTTGAACAATCGGGTCTCGCCTGTTGGTTTTTGTTCGCAAACAGAGTTTCTTGCTGCTAATTCTTCCTGACCGGTCGACTGGCCATTTGATCTTCATTATGGAGCCAGTGAAGGCATGCTGCTGTTGATGAAAGTTTGCGGTAACTTGTTAGAAATCTTATTCGTGACAGACTGGCCAAGTTTCTGACCCGTATAGAAGAACCGACTTCACATTGGTTTTAAAAACCCGAATCTTCTTTTTGTGCTGAGTGCGGAAGGTTTCCAAACTGGTTTCAGGTTGATGAAGGCGTATCTTGATGTCATTTGAGCTATCAATCACAAGGATGTAATAATTCCTCAGATATTCCAACATACACCTAACATTGATTGACATGTGAAGTTGACATATCAGCTATCAAGTCGTGATTTTCACAGCTTGAAGATAGACAGACAGACAGACGAAATTCTCCAAACATGCAGACACACACACATACATGCACAGTGGCACACACACTGTTGAACAGCCTACTTTTAAACTGACAAGTAATGTAAGGTAACTCACTGAGAAAAATAACTCAAGTTATTCAGCTATTATACAAAAATAAAGAAACCAGACAGAATTTTTACAATTTTCTAACGTATCACAAGACAGTGAAAGGTGATGTAGTTTTATCTAAAAGTAAATTTATCAGGTGCAACACAAGTGCAGAAAACAGAAAGTACACAGTTTTTAGTGAGTTCCTCGGTTCGTATCCCGCAGTGTGGGTGCCTACTGATGAAGCGTGACAAATTAGATTGACTAAAAATAAAAATTTCCAGCACTCCCTGCAGGTTTTCCAATGATTCTCTCTAACCGATGATGTCAGCTCATGATGAAATCCTGCAAAACAATCAATCAAATCCCTACAAACCAATGCTTGAATTCCAAACAATTTATAAACCTGATTTAATAGCTATGCGATGTTGTGAAGTGTCAGGTGATTCACGAGAGAAAGCTATGCGAAGCTTTTGAAGTGAAGTGATAGGAGTAAGACGAGTATGTCGCACTATCACCGATAACATTCCTGATTGTTTTTGGTATCTATAATTCAGCAAACCGTGTATGGATCAAGATGAGGGATATACGTCGGACTGATGGAAAGATTGTGGAAGATTTTGGACTTAGCCAGTGATTTATTTCTAATATAATATAAATTCGTTGAACATCACCTTCAGACAGTTCCAGTGTTCTTCCACACTGGTTTTCTCAGTGATGCCACGTGGTGTCTCCGACTTTACTCTGATCTGATGTGTAGTGAAGGCATCCCTTGTAGTTTTATCCTTCAGTTTCTGAATATTCAACTTGAATTACAGTGGCCTGTCTCCAGTCGTTTTCAGGGATTTCAGCTTCACCTTGAAGGTTCCTTGAACTAGACGATGATCTGAACTAGCCCACATCTGCTTTGTGTTTAGCAGGCTGCGTCTTTACTTCCTTGAGCAGCATTACGACGAAATCGCTTTGGTCTGTGGTGTGTCCGTCAGGAGAAATCCATGTTGCTTTGTGTATATCTCTGTGCTTGTACATTCTGCCTCCGATCAACAAATCACTGAAGGCGAAGAAGTCTGTGAATAATTCTCCATTCTAATGAATTTCTTTGGGAGCCTGTCGAGCGGTGATGAGTCCTCTTCCTGTATTATCTGCTCTCAGTTAGGCTGGTATTCATATCGCCCATAAGGACTTCGATGTCATCATTTGGGATGCTGTCCATTAGTGTTTGTGATTGTTAGTAGAAATCTTCCTTCATTCTCTTGTTCCGTGTTGTTTGTAGCACTATGCGTATCATTGGATGATTGTGACTTTCCTTCCTTCCTACCTTTTGAGTTGAATCTTTCTGTCATGATCCTGCAGGATGAGATCGGTTCCCACTGCATTAGGGCTTCGGCTGCCACTGGTGACATCATGATAGCCACTCCCTCAATGTGCTCTTGGTTGTCGTCTGAGTGACGGGAGTAGATTTTTGACTCTTCCGTTGACAATGTTGTCAATCCACATCCATTCCACCTGCTTTCGCAGATACCCAGTACTTCTAAGCCATATCTTCGCATCTCTTTGGCTA